GATGGGAGTCCATTTATATTAGAATAATTTAATATAAATTTAATAGTCTGTAAAACCCCATCAAATGATACTGCTCTATTGCCTACTTTTCCTGTTAATAAATTTGTTCTTAATTGTATATCAAAATTGTCAAAATGACTTCTGATATTTTTCCATCTTTTTTCACCTATACCATAGATGCCTTTGAATGCAGTTTTACAAATTTCTATTCCATCAAAATAATACACATTTGCTAATCTTCTTCTTTTTTCTCCTTTGTAAGTTTCTTTACCTCTTAAACTAGCAGAAAGAATACCTTTCAAAAAACTATCTTGTTCAGTTTTTCTTAAATCAAGGAAAGATTTATATCTAGTTTTAATGTCATTAAAATTTAATTTTTCTTTCAAACATTCTTCTAAACAGCAATTTTCATTCAGCAAATTTTCTACATAGTGGTTTATATCATGATCCATTTCTTCTTGTTCATCAGAAATAATAAACTCATCATCCACTATTTTATTTTTATTATAAATATCTTAAATTTTTCTATTTGTTCTTTAGACAATATCTCTGTTTCATCATTGCTTTCTTCTTCTTCTTCTCCTTCTCCTTCTCCTCCTTCAATTAAGACAATTGTTTCATTTTTTTTCTCTTTAATATATGAGTTAGATTGATAATTTTTTTTAAGTTCAGCAAAAGCTTCTTTTAAATCAGTTAATTCAGAATGTGTATCAGTAAAGACACTGTTAAAAAATATGTGTGTAGACATTTTAAATGATCAACATCAAATTTTTTTATTTGCTTAAATTAAATAAATGTAAAATAAAAAATCAAGCTAAATGACCTAATTCTCAATCCAAATACTCAGTTTTTTTACCTTGCTAGCTAGGTATGTGAAAACTACATTTGTTGCAAATATTATTATTATTATTATATATAGAAGATGTGACTTGTCACTAAGCAATTATTATTTTTTTTTTTTGGAAAAAAACAAAATAAATATTTTACAACATACACAATTAAAATTACTATTGGACTAAAAAAAATATGTGTATATGTGAGCAAGAAAAGCAAAATATTTTTTTATTCATTTTTATTAGTTAAAAAAAAAATTTCATTCACACCATGATATCATCCTGATTTATTTTCTATCAAGTGACTCGTCTCAAAATGGGAAGATGTAAAGATTAATTCACTTTCTAGAAATGCTTTTAGAGTCAACCTATTGATGATCAAAGAGTGTGAATGTTTAGAAGAAATATCAACAAAGCCTTTTTACCTCATACAGCACACAGTGCTTGTCAGTTTGCAAACAACAACAACATGATTTCCTGAAAGTGAGTTGCAATCAAAATTGTTATTATCTTGTGTGTTTGTACATTTATTCTATTTTTACATAATTATTCAATAATGTTTCAAAATAATTAATGTATATTATTAATATTAATATTAATATTAACATTAATATATATATAGCAGTAGCAATGAAATTGCCTGTAATACTGTGAGGGTAACTTTTGGTCAACCTTGATTATTTTTCATTTATGGCTGAGCTTTGAGTTAACTTTTAGCTACACTCATTGATTAATTACAAGCTTTTATATTGTCACTGATTAAATTTGGGAGAGCATGTTTTAATGGGTGATAACAATTATTTTTGTTTATGTGTGGATCAGAATGAATAGGTTATCAACGAATTGATTTTGGATTAGCAAATAATTTTGTTTAAAGAAGATAAAAG